AACCTATTATAAGTCAGGCACTGTGCTAGTAAGTTACATATTTTGCCTCATTTAATCCTCTAACAATCATGTAAAATAATAAGTGCATTCCTATCTTATACACAAGGAAACTGGGGCTCTACTTTCCTTTTCCACGCTCAGTGGCTCATGTCCCTTACCTGATTTCACAACACTAATAATTCATATCACCTTCAATTAGTTCTCTGAGGTAAGGTTGGGTTTTTAAGAAAAATATAAGTTAGCCTTGAGCAATAAAGAAATATAAACCATCCAGATTTTGTGTGTGTACATGTAGAGAGAGGTGTTTATTTTTTAAAAAATACACTTCAGCCAGGCATACGCCTTTAATCCCAGCACTCAGGAGGCAGAGGCAAGTGGATCTCTAAAGGCCAGCCTGGTCTACAGAGCAAGTTCCAGGACAGCCAGAGCTACATTGAAATATCCTGTCTCAAAAAAAAAAAAAAACAAAAAAAAAAAACAAAAAAAAACCACTTCAGCTTGAACACAAAGCAGCAACAGTTAGGGGCACCTTGAATTAAAATAACTGCAGTATGGGAAGAGGACCTCCAAGCCTCTTCCCATACACAAGCCCAGAGGTGTGACTCTCCCCACCTTACAGAGTGAGAAACTCTAAGGAGGTAGAGGTATAGTCAGCTCTTGCTCAAGTCCCCAAATGCGGCGCTTCCTTCTACAAATTTGGGTCTTGGCAAATGCTGCTCCCTCTGCTTTGGAAAGCACTGGTTATTTTTCACCAGCAAATTAACACTTTCTTTGAAACCCAGCTAAACCCGACACTTTTGTATATTTCTCTGACACCCCATGATAAAGTCAATGGTTTCCATGTGAGCCAGTAGCATGGTTTATTCTAACGTCATGACTTATCATCTCAATAGATGCTGACACTAAGTACCTGTCTCTTCTACTACTAACAATGTTCAAAGGCTCCGTGAGGAAGGATAGAGGTAGCAACAGAGCTCTGCATGCATGTACATGTAAAAAGAGGCATCCATGTGTGCACAAAAGCATATCTTGTAACTCTTTATTTTCTTGTTGGGCACTTTCATGCATTTCAGATTTTCACACAGCTTCAAAGAGGAGCACTGTGTTTTAATCTAAATGGTACATGAGTTCTAGAAATCTGGAAGCAGAGTTGGTTTCTTAAAAGCAACAACTATATTTTATTCATTTCTTTTACTCCCAGCACATAATCGGGCACAATTAAGAAAATGAGGACTTGCTAAATGAATCATATCCCCAAAGTCATGGTGCCAACTACTCCAGAAGTAGAACATGCTAGACAGAGCACAGCCAAACAAAGCTAGCTAGCTTCCTTCCACCCCTTCTTTCCTTTCTGCCATTCTCACAGCTCAAACATTCTTACTCAGAGAGAGAGAGGGATGGAGGGAGGGAGGGAGGGAGGGAGGGAGGGAGGGAGGGAGAGAGAGAGAGAGAGAGAGAGAGAGAGAGAGAGAGAGAGAGAGAGAGAGAGAAAGAATATTGCCTTGGTGCTGGAATACTATTAAAAGGATTAATTTAGGGTCCGGTGTTTGGACTGTCACATCCAATCACTACACACAGATCTACAGCTTCCCAAATCAGACTCATGCAAAAAGGAATCAATCGCAAGGACACAGAGGGTCTGAACAGGCATACTAATGGCTTTCTAAGGTGCCAGCGGCCAGCTTTGACACTCCCATAAATTATCTGCCTTTTGATTTTACCTGTAGCTGTGGGGCACAAGGCACAATTTTGAACATATCAAAGCAATCCCTTCTAACCCAAGGCTCCCCAAGGAATGGACCCCAAAGGAGGAAGAAGCTAAAACAACAACCCAAAGGGAATCTGCTTCCCAACAGGTCTGGCCCTCAAAATCATCAATTAAAACCCAACAGAACCAAATAAATAAAGCAGGATTCAAATAAAGTCTAGCAGAATGGATGGAGCATCAACACACTCTACAATGACTATGCATCTCTCACTCAAGGGAAGAGAAATCACAGCAATCAACTTGCACAATTTCATCTGGAGGCAAGTCTGCACTAGCTTTAACAGTCCCTTACAATGTGATCTTGGGCAACTCAATTTAACCTTCTTTGGTAGCAAGAAAACCAAAACAGACCACATGGCTTATTTCCCTGAGTGGGAGGGAAAAGTAACAGAATTACTCAAGAGGCACTTCACAGAGATGCAGGGTCAGTACTGTGGCAACACCAATAAATGGTCCCGAAGAGGGAGGAAGGTTAGTAACGAGGGTGAGTCTTGGGATGCTGCTTAATCCTAAAGCGCCACACTTTATTCAAGGCATGTGGTCTATGGAACTCCTACGATATGTGAATTTTCCACAGTGAAAACTCATGCCTTGCTTTAGTTATAGCTGCCTCCTGTAGATCGGCTGAGCTTTTACCATGTGGACATAAGGAAACTGTGCAAAGCTTAAGAAGCCAAAACTCCTATCAGCCAACTACATCCTGCTTTGGGGCAGAACGTTAGTAGTAGCACCTGCCTTTAATCCTGGCACTTGGGAGGCAAAGCCAGACAGATCTCTAGGAGATCGAGGCTAGCCTAGTCTACATAGAGAATTCCAGACCAGTCATAGTGAGAGCCTGTCTAAAAATTAAAACAAAGAAAAATAAACAGTATTAATGCACTACTAAGAGTTTCCTCTACATCATTAAAGCCTTTAAACAGTGTTATTAAATCCTACTATCTCCATTTTAGACAGCAAAGTGAAACTGAGAGAGGTAAGTGGCTGACCAAGATCACAGAAACACCAGGCTTCTCTCCATCACTGCAAGTGCGCTGGGGCTCACAGAAGAGGAAGAACGAGGGAAATAGAGTGGCATTCTGACTGTAAACTTTCCACACTCAACAAACAAATTTATTGGCTTCCTGCTTGAGACACACCATCACAGTTGATCTGGCAGACATTTCCAAAATCAGGCATGGGTTATCAATCTGCTACAGGCCAGGTAAGAATAGACCAATAGAACATACAGAATGAGGACAACTGCCTAGAAAGCTTAGGAATGCAGCTCAGTTTCTGTGCATACAGCTCAAGTAATGCAAGCTATTAAGCAAGGATCCCTAAAATGAAGATCCCCTCCAAGGGTTCCATTCAGGCCATACCTCTTTCAACAGAAGTTTCCAAAAACATTTTAATTCACTGTATGCTGACTCTCTTTTGCAATCTGTGAAATAGTAGCTGGCTAGCATTTCAAAGAAATTCTCTAGTAGACACCTTTTAAGTGTCATTAGAAAGACATGAAATTAGTAAAGAGAATTAATACTAACAAACACACACACACGAGTTCAATTATACTTGATGTGGTCCTTAAGGACCACAAAACTAACACATAAGGGGAATAAAACTGTTACCCCTGACTCTTGACTGTTCTCTCTGCTTCCAGTTTTATCTGCCCCTTCAATCCATTCTTCATACTGATAGCGAAACAAGTTTTCTACAACACAAAACTCCTAATTATAATCTTCATTTTTTTCCTTTTTCTTACTGTTTTGCTTTGCAACACAGGCTTGCCTTGAATGATTAGCAATCCTCCTCCCTTAGCCTCCTAAATACAGGAGTATACCACCACCCTTAGCTGCTTACAATCTTTCAGTGGCTTCTTACTGTTCTAATTTAGAGGTCGGCAAACTATGGTCTATGGGCCAAATCCAGCTGCAACCCACTTTTATAAATAAAGTTTTACTAGAACACAGTCATTTCCACTTTCACAGCATCCACAGCTGCTGAAAAGCTCGCTACAAGCTGTACAGCTGTAAAGGAGTCACAAAGCCTCAATACCTATTCCTGTCCTTTCTAGAAAGCTTGCTAACCTTTAGTCTTTTTAACTGCCCCAACCTGCCCACCTCCCAGCACCGTCTAAACAGTTTCTAAGGCCCAAGCCTCTGCTCACCTTTCCTGCTTCACTCCCCATCTGCCTTTCAATTACACTGACCTACCTCAAACTCAACAAAGCTCTGTCACTTGGTCCCTGAAGTGTTTAATTCTAAGTAAGGAGGCTGATTACTCTGAGAAGCCATCCCAGAGTCTACAAGTCCAGGTTAGGGTCACTCCCATAGACCCAGACAACCTAGGTCCCTTACTTTAGTACTATTGGGTGTATCATACCTGTTGCATTACTATTGGTCTCTCCTATGGATCTGAAAGTTTTTGAATATCATGGGCAGTCTTGTTTACTACTGTAATCCGAGCAACTAGCAAAATGTCTGGGTCCTAGTTATTGAAGAAATGACTCCCAATTCCACCTTTTTAGTAAGTTCAGGTGGAAGGAGGTGGGAACTCACCAGCCATTCGCTCAAAGGTGACACACAACTCAAACCCAAATATATCACAAGAGCCACACGTGAGGTGGTCTTACGGTTGAATTAAAATGAATTTAATGTCTCAGAATATAGGGCTATTCCAGCTCTACTCAATTACCCTAAAGGTGAGGTACTCATGAGGTGTCTATCAAAGAAATCAAGGCTAGGCACAGTAGTCCATACTTGTAATCCAGCTACCAGGCAGAGTCTGACACAGGAGCATCACCAGTCTGAGGCCAGTATGGTCAATTTAGTTAAGATCAAATATAAATTTTAAAAAAGGAGAGAGAGGGAGAGGGAGAGGGAGAAGGAGAGGGAGATGGAGAGGGAAGGAGGGAGGAAGGGAGAGAGAGAGAGGGGAGAAAGACTAGGAATTTTGTTCAGTGATGGCACACTTGCCTAGCATGTTGCAAGGTCCTGGTACTGAGGTACATTCCCAGTATTGAGAAAAAGAAAAAAAAAAAGCAAATCATGACAGAACTGGAAAGTCTAAAGTCTAGATCATTCATCTCCAACTCTTACTCTAAAGACTGTGGTCGATTTCAGTTGCAGGAAACTTTAGCACATGCTACTTTATAAGAAACTACAGAAAAATGCAATCTGCACCAGGCCCCATCATGTACCCACCACACCCAAACAGTAAGACACCAAACGAGATCATGCAACAGGATTCTCACCTCTCCTTACTTCGAAGATGCCAAGACTGGCAGCTGGAGACGCTGAAGGGTCTGTGAGAGCTGGAAAGCCCCAATGCTGTGGACAAACACATATCTCTGCAACAGGTATATTTCAATTCAAGGGTTTAAATTCTCATTAAGGGTCATTCTCAAACTCATAATGAATTCAAACTTTGGAATATAGCTATCTCTGTGCAAAGACAATGGTACTACAGACCTTTCAGATGCTATTGACTGATATATATAAAATATACCCACATATATGTATATATGTATGCATGTATATATGTATATATAGGTGTGTAATACACATATATATGGGTTGTATAGATATGAATTATGAATTTCACATGTTCTCTGATATATTGTTCTTCCTAAGGAAGTTTATTTTCTAGAAATAACAAATATTCATAATATCTGAGCCTCAACTAAGAAAGATGGTAATGAAGCGATGGCTCACTGGATAATTTCAGAATCCTATCAAACAAGAACACAAGGCTAGCAGTATTCAGAACTCAGGAACTGGGGCTGAGCCAAGACTGAAGAGAAGGGTTCATTGCTACAAACCTATAGGCAGTAACTGGAATAGAAACACAGATCAGGAAATACTTTCAAAATACTTCCAAGTCGGGCTCAGATTCTAAGAAAGTCAAGCTAGCCAAAACCCAAATCAACACATCAAGGAAGCTAAGCATAGATGGTACATGAGGAGGGGCCAACCAGGGCTACACATCAACACCATCAAAAAAATAAAAATTTTTTAAAAGTATCAAGGAATATCTATCATATTTATCACCTATTTCAGATATTCTTAAGGACAAGAAATCACAGACATGATCTTTTAAGACAGTAAAACCCTGTGCACAAACATCTATTGATTGGAGCCAAACATATTCCTGTCTGCCCTGCCACACACTTAAGACTCAATTCTCTCCTGAACCCTCCCACTTATCCCATACCAGAGTAAACTTTCCAAAAATGAAATGGAATCAAAGCACTTCTATCTGGAAATTTCAAGTTTGAGGGAGAGCTCTTAGGCAAGCTCTATGACCTAGCTAGCTGATTCTCTGCATGATCTTGGGGCAGGAATTGTTAATGTGCTTTTAATTTGGAGTGCTTAAGTTGCCAAAGTGCTCTGAGCTCCAGTGAAGCACCACAGAATCCATAAAGGAACCTTATCAATCACCTCCCGGCAGCTCCCTTCCCCCACCCGGCACCTGTCCACCGGCAGCCAACTGGCTTTCTAACCAAGATCACAGGCACACATTAGTGGAGTCACACTCCACGTCACTGTTTATAAATTGGCTTTTAAATGGTGGGGGATTCAAGTATAATATACTTAAGGTCCAAGAACAAGCCCACTAAAACAAGGTCTACTGTGTATGATAAAGTCAGAATAAAGCTGAATTTGATGAAGCCAGTTTCTGGTACAAACCCCACAGTCAAAAAATCATTCAGCCAATCACAACCTACTACAGTCAAATAGAGTATCGTCTTTAGCCAATGGGAATCATGTTTTGCTGCCCTTAACACTGGAAAACCGATGAAACGCACTAGCAAATGCATGCATAAAAATGGTCAGAGACAATTGTTGGTCCTAGTCATTGCAAAATCCTTATCCCCGGATGAGGGGCCCCATATCCAGCATCTTCCAGGTCAACATCCAACATCCCAAGTCATGCTTTGTTTTAAGAAAACACCTGTTGCTGGGCCATTTGCAATAAAGGCATACAAAAAAGCTACCCGGATTAAGGCCCTTTCTTCATTCTGACCACCATCATTACCCATAGCTTGGGACTTACAAGAAAGTAAAGTGCTAACGTGTGTTCTGGGATGCGGAGGGGGTACTCTATATATCTACTAATTCCTTAATCTATTTCTATTTTCTCTGGTCTAATCTCCCTTCTCCAGTAATCTCAAATTAGGCCCCTTCCTCATCCCACCTATCTCGCAAAGCCCAGCTCCACCCCCAGCTCCCCCTTCGCCAAGTTAGAACATGCACCCAGGGTGAGCACACGGGCCAGTATTCCAGGCTGCGTGAAGTGTGCGCGCCACGACCCACACCCCACATGCATCAACCAGGGCCCAAGCTAGGGGCCCTCTCAATCTCACCCACCCCAGGGTGTTGCCCCCAGTTCGGGCCCATCCAGGTCCAAGGGAGCGTAAGGGGAGGGGCAGGGGGCCAGGAGACCAGCCCTCCTTCCCAGGGCCGCCCCCGCCCCCCGTCAGCTGCCGGAGAGGCTGTCGCCATGGCAACGCCCCCTCCTCCGGGCCAGCGCGGCAGGCTCTCTCCAGGTGCAGGCCCCGACGTCTCCCTCGGCCTCAGCAGGCGGTTGGAGCAGTTGACGGCAGCGGGCACGGCCCGCGCCGCCTGCGGCGCTGACCAGGCAGAAGCAGAGCCAGCTCCGCCCGCTCCCCACAGCCCGTTCCAGGCCGCCTCAACAGCGGCAGCCAGCACCACGAGTCCACAACACACCGACTCACCTCCGCGCACTCTGACCCCGATCGACGCGGTGGACGGGCGGGCGCAGTAGCCAACCGCTGAGCCCGCTGCTGGCACCTTTGGCCAATGAACTACAATGAGGCGGGGCTTCTTCTCCCCAAACGCTCTCTCTGCCGCCGACATGCGCGCTAAGGTGTGTCAAGATGGTGACCGTTGGCGCTGAGCCTTGTGGGACTTGTAGTTTGGAGGAGACACGTCTTCAGAAGAGAAGGGGAGGGTCACTTCTGAACAGTAAAAGGGATTTTCTTAAAAATAAATAAATGGGAGTAATACTAAAATAAACCGAAAATTCGTCATGCTTATAATCACACAGATTCTCTACTTGTTTTTCCCTCCTTCACTGTAGGCACACGGTGAGTATGGGCTCAGGAGATGTTTTCTTCAGGCAACACCTTCTGTGATTCGTTCGTCAACAAGTAATCATTATCCACTTTCTGATTACGGACCTGGGGGAGATCTGGAAAGAAGGAAAGCGTATTCGGATAAGAAGAAAATGCTTAGATTTTTGAAGGGCCTCTCAAAAGGAAGAAGCTATTGGCTTGTTCAGGTCCCCGCAGAGAAAATGTCAGGGTTAAAAGGATTCCGGCCGTAGCCAGGGAGGTGGGGGGTGGGGTCTAGATGTAGTTTCTCCAGGCAGCTGGGGAGAATTTACACCTAGTGCGATGGGTTAGTGTCTCCATCTTAGCTATGCTTCTCTGGGAAGTCCTCATGCCGCGTTATGAAATGGGAAAGCTTCGATCTTAACCAAGCCGCTAATGATTTTGACATCCTCTTAGTCAGATCCATTTTAGGAGCCATCTTCAGTTCCCAAGCTTCTCTGTCTGCCACCTGCTATTTTCACTAAAAACAGTTGGTATCAGTCCTGGACCCTGCCACCTCTGAGATCTTAGCATAATGGTTCCTGTCTGCGCTGGAAAAGCCTGTAATCCCCATATCAGGGAATGCCTTCTTTAATCTCACCCACATAATGGGTAAGGTGGTTCTACTGTGAACCTACAGAACTGATTGCGGCGCTTTACCATTGTCGTCTCCTTGCCATCTTTCTCCTGGGAATTTAAACTCGTTTAAGATAGGTATTATTTCCATATCGTTCATGCTGCATCCAGCTATAACCCAGTATGGTGTCAGCCAGAGAGCAGCGATGCAATAAAATGCTTGTGACAAATGAGGGAGCAAACAGAAGCAGAAACAGATATCCTTCATTCCCAAGGCAGGAAAGTTGGAGGCATGATTGCCTGTCCTCCAATTCTTGGAACCGAAACCGGGGCCTCTTCCTTCTATTATTACATAAACATTAACATAGGTTGGCCCAGTTGTCAACACGTGTTTATAATTCAGTATTGGGCACTGTCTGTTGCTAATGATTAAATGGTAAGACATAAAACCCGTATCCTTGAGGCAATTCTCTATTGGAGAGTGAATGGAGAGGGATGGACAATGAACAAATAAATATATACAAATAAATATAGAAATAAGGCAAATAAGAGGTCATTAGATGGCGTCTTCTTTGGGGTTTCAAAACACCGTGACAAAGCTCGATTTGGGGAGGAAAGCATTTATTTTCCTCAAACTCACACGTCACAGTTCATCATTGAAGGAAACCAAGGCAAGAACTCAAGGAAAGAACCTGGAGGCAGGACCCGAAGCAGAGGTCACAGAGGAACACCACTTTCTGGCATTTCTTTGTAGCTTGCTCAACCTGCTTTGTTTTGTTTTCGAGACAGGTTTTCTTTGTGTAACAGTCCTGACTGTTGTCCTGAAACTTGTTCTGTAGAACAGGCTGGCCTCAAAGTCAACAAAGACCCACCTGCCTCTGCTTCCCAAGTGCTGGGATTAAAGACGTGCGCCACCACTACCACCACCCCTGGGCTCAAGCTGCATTCTAATAGTGCCCAGGACCACTAGCCCAGAGAGGACACCACTCACAGTGAGATGGACACTTCCTCACCAATCACCAATCTGATGGGGCATTTTCTCAGTTGAATTTCCCTCTTCCCAAATGACTCTAGCTTGTGACAAGTTGCCATAATACTCGTCAGAACAGATGGCCTTTCCTGTTTCTGGTCTGTCCTGAAAGCAAAGCGGAGAGTTTTTGTTTGTTTGTTTGTTTGTTTGTTTGTTTGTTTAGCTATAAGAATAAAGTAGGGCTAGAGAGCTCAATGGGTTTGGGGGTATTTTGTGACATTTGCCACTGCCAAACCTGACAACTTGAGTTCCATACATCAAGATTTGCATGACTGAAGGGAAAAACAATACTCTTTCAAGCTGTCCTCTGACCTCTACAGGCACACTCTCTCTCTCTCTCTCTCTCTCTCTCTCTCTCTCTCTCTCTCTCTCTCTCTCTCTCTCACACACACACACACACACACACACACACACAAGTAAATTTAAATTTTATTTTATTTTCAAAAAGAATGAAGTAAGCAAAACCAGATGTGCTAGTTCAAACATGTACTCTCAGCACATAGGAGGCTGAGGTACAAGGTTCTTAAATTCAAGGGCAGCAAGTTAGGGTAGAGACTGAGACTCTATCAAAAAAAAAAAAACAAGCAAGCAAGAAGAAAGGAAGGAAGGAAGGAAGACCATTTACCAATTTAGAAGCATGCAGGCGAGACAACAAAATTCCTAAAATTTAAAAAGGATACAGAAAATATCAAGGGAGCAGGAGAGAGGTTAAATTAAGATACTTATTTTAAGGTCTAGCCCAAACACCACCCTCCATGTAGCCTTCCATGTGTGACTGCCACCCAGGGTGCACTCCTTCCTTTGTGGTCTTCTAGGACTCAAACGTTCAGCTTCCAGGACAGTTCTGAGCCATAAACTCTCTTTGGACAAAGACCATGAAACTATATTCAAACAGCAGAGCACGGTAAGAACTGGGTATATACTTAGCACCTTACAAAGCTGCCCAATGCTTTGTAAGCATTTGGGTCTCTCAAGCCTTGGTTCTTTAGTATAGCTCTAGAGCAGGACTTCCAAAACTTTTCCACTCATGACCCCCCCCCATTTTTTTTTTTTTTTAAGAGAGGGTTTCTCTGTAACTTTGGAAACCTGTACTGGAACTCGCTCTGTAGACCAGGTTGTCCTTGAACACAGAGATCCACCTGCCTCTGCCTCCCAGGTTGCTGGGATTAAAGGCGTGCGCCACCACTGCCCACCTGACAGCCACTTTCTTTCCTTTTTTTTTTTTTTTTTTTTTTTTGGTTTTTCGAGAGAGGGTTTCTCTATTTAACAGAGGGCCACCAGGCCAGGGTGACACTGTTCCCAGTGGGCTTGGCCCTCCCACATCTACCATCAACCAATACAATGTACAGTGCCACCAAAGATTTTCTCACAGGCATCTTCCCCACTGAGGTTCCTTTCCCAGATTATGCAGGTTTGTGCCAGGTTGGCAGAAAAGCCAACCAGGACATAATGCTTAGCACCATTTCAGAGATGGCTGAAAAATTATTTAGTAGTCTTTTTATATATATACATAAAATTCAAGTCAGCAACTCAAACAGCAATTTTTAAAATCAAACATTCTAACACACTACAACCCAAAGATAAACTCTCTTGACACTTACATGGACTAGGGAATGCTAGGAAAATAGTAAAAGACCTTTTCCCCATAATTAAAGCGCCAGTGCTTCTATTAGAGCAGCACACTTTACCTGTGCAGTAAGAACACTGCGGTTCATAAGCTACAGCTATCTTGAATCTGAGCGGAGGTGTTTCCCACAGCATCGGTTGGAGCTGGGTGGTGTGACAGCAAGCACCGTGCAGAGCTGTACATTGCATGTTTAAGGCCAAGGCTGCAGTGCAGACCCACGTTACAGCATGAATGAGCATGTCCAGAAACATCTCAGACTCTTTACACATTTGATTTTGAATTTTTTTGGCCAATTCACATTCAGAATTTTTTTTTTACTATTGCCATTTTTTGTATATACCCCCAACTCCCAGCAATCTGTCCTATTACCCCTTATTGGGGGGTCATAGCTGACAGTTTAAGAACCTGGGCTGTAGGGCTGAAGAAACTTAGAGGACCCAGGTTTGATTTCCAGCACCCATATAGCAGCTCACAACTATCTATAAGTCCAGTTCCAGGAGATCTAATGTTCTCTTCAGGTCCCCAAATATTGTTTATAAATGTTTGTTTACATTTAAAGGGGGATTGCTATAGAGATGGATACTTTGCATTGGTATGGATCTTGTTTTATTGATACAAATTTAAGGTCAATTTTGTTATACTGTGTATGTGTATTTTTGATCTTGATTAAGGTATTGTATTTTTCCAGCTGATTTAAAAATGTAATGTATAATTAAGAAATATAGGTTAATAGATTATCATCTATAATAGTCAAGCTTGTAGTCATGTTAGTTAGCTTTTCTAGATGTACAGAAATGTATTTCAGATGGATAAGCATTCCTCAAACCTTTCAAAGACGACAGAATATGGCCTTTAAAATGTTTAAGGACTTAGGACTTTTCATGACAATGAGACACATCACTCCTCGCAGCACCAACTACTCCAAGAGGAAGATGGGCATTGAAGAGGCTACTTATGAAGTTGGTTAGCCATTTGGGCAAGCTCTTTCCTGGACTTCTTGATGTTATGGTGTATGAACTGGATATGCAGGATGCACAGAAAAAATGACTGCTGAAGTTGCCTCAAGAAGGTGAGACAGTCCTTCAGGGTTCCTGCTTCATGAAAGAGTCTGCCAGACATTCTGCAGGACACAGAAGAAAGTGACTGGCAAACTGCCAATATATACGGAACTGTCTTTGAAATTTCCTGCTTCTTGGAAAAGTCTACTGGATACTATGGGCCAGTAAGCTGAAGATGAGTGCCTGCAATGTTACAGAAGAACTTTGGGTGACTGTCCAGGCAGTGAGATGTCTCTGTCAATTCTAGAGTTTTGGAAGTTGCTAACAATGCACTTCCTGTTAACTTAGGTAATATTATATTCTTCTGCGGTCTTTGATGAAGTTGAAGAATA